TTTTACTACCAGTTCTATAGAACCGGTGCAAACCAGGGGCAACCCACCACTGATGCACACGCATACATATGCAGTCCAGTTTGGGCACTTGGTGCCAAAAAGGTTCGCCATCACTGAACTAGGAGTTCAAAGTGACTAGATTACACAATTCATCAATCAAGATTACACTATAACTATGATTCCATATATACAACTTTTGTAAAAGGTTTAGATTCAGTGCCCTGTTCAAACGTGAATATGCTTGAGTGATATTTTATTTTAAAGTTATCCTCCAAGTCTGAGTCCATTAACCATAGTTACTGTTCTAAATGCAAATTATGCAAACTTCACTGTAAATTATCAACTTGTATATTAGAACTTACAAAATTTTCAAACATTCCAATAAATTCTGTTCATGGACAATGCTGAATTAGATGAAATGAGATTGAAAGAGATGGAAATAGTGTGTATGTAAACATGTTCTGACATGTTAGTAACAAGTTTATCTTTTGTACTTGTAACAGTACTGTTACATATACCAAAAATTCAGAAATTGATATACTAAATGCCAAGTACATAAGCACCATTTTTTTCAAACAATAATAAAAAAGAGGTTAAATCTCTTGCACATTCCCTTTTATGATGCCATATCATAGATATTACTCAACTAGATAGCATCACCTAATCAGATTAGGCTAATCTTGATCTAGTTAGTACTACTTAGATGGGAAAACCCCAGTTATATAGATTAAAATATAAAATTGAATATATACCCCTGAAGAAGATAATAACAAACCATTTTTAATTTTTGGCAAGGAAGTTAACTGACATGTTAAGTTTCATTTGAAAGAGACATGATTTATCTTTCTCACAATTATCAGATTGCCCCATCACCACTGGAATTATGAACCCAGCAACTATTTTTGGCAACTTTCTGGCCTGACCTATTATCTAATTCATGGAGCTTCTATGACATTGCAACAAGGACTCCTCTTTAAACAGAAGCAATCCTCGATTTAAAATGAGGCCAAAGTTAGTTTCAGTACAGTATCCATCACTGTGGTCTATTAAGATATTTGAAGATTTGCTTTTTTCCATTCTTTCTTTCTGAGAGTAAAATAACACCTACATATGAAGGAGAGATTTCCAACTAGTTTTGAAGTTTATATTTCATATTGGTTCCCAAGAAGGCATTAACTAACTGTTAGAGTTTGCAGCAATCCAACCAGCACACAAGTAAATAATTCGGCAGAATTCATGTATAAAAAAAACTTGTTTATATACAATAATATAAAGAATGATGCATGTATACAACACCCATGCAGCAGAAGCCAGAACAACCAGAATTCACAAAATCAATATAATCACAGAAGCTATGGTTTGCAAGGACAAACCAACTCTTTTATACATAACAGTCAAGTTAAGCCATGCCCAGGCTCCAAACTGTGTGAGTCACCAAAGAGGCTGACCTGTTGCCATGTCTATTCCAATGAATGAACTTTTATACACTGACACTAACTGTCGAGAATAATTTTAAGTCAAGAAGAGTCTATCAAAACTTACATATCAGCTAAAGTTAGATTTTCTATTCAATTTTTTGAAAGTTTTTCAAACTGGGCTGAAAATCATATAAAGTTTAACTCAAAGAATCTCTCCAGCTTTATGGTTTGTAAATATAACATCCACAATAACTTAGTTGTCTCCAAAATTCTGGAGAACTTGAAAATCCCAGCCCACGATATCAAAGAGAATGCTTAGCCAAAATTATTTAATTTGATTTTATTCTACTTTTAAATTTTGTATGTACTCCTTCGGGAGTAGGGCAGTATAGAAATCAAATTAATTAATTAATTAAATAAATAAATAAATAAATAAATAAATAAATAAATAAATAGATTTCTCTTTGCAATGCTGTTGACTGATTTCTAAAAGCTAGCAATACACACAAATATGTTTTTTTGAGGAGGGAGAGGGATATCATCAGATAATCTCAAATTAAATCTCTGATCCCGGTGACCAACCCGGATTGGATCTTGCAGAAAAGGAAGTTTTTAACAAGTCCAGGAAGAAGTCAATGACAATCTATTTTAGTATTGTTTCCACAAAACTTCCAAGGCCATGCCCATGAGCAGTCAAGCCAGATTTTATCTGTACCTTATCCCTGAAGGGCACCAAGTTGGGGAAGGCTGCAGTAAGAAAATACTATACTTAAATCTCATGAAGCTCCCTCCAGCAAGAACAGTCTTAAATATTTTCTTTCTCAAAAAAGAGACAAAGAAAATAGAGGCAAGGGAATCTTTCCTTTATTTGATTAATCTCTCTCTCCTCATTTTTTTTTATGATAAGAAAAGGTAGCTGAACTTTCTAGACAACCTTGAGGGAGGGAGTAGGTGGAAGTAAAAATTCCCTGGTGTTTCCAAGCTATTCCAAGCCAGAAGTATCACTTTACATACATTTTCATTGCACTCAGGAGAAAAATGTGGAAATGTTTCAGCAATCGGTTATAAATGGGAAGTTATAATGGGGCTTAATGGGAGCATCTAATATCTTTCAGCGTTTTTGTTTCTCCAGCATATTATATCTTTTTCTGTCTGTCTATCGGTCTATATATTTATTTTTTCTGATCAGCCTTCAGAGAAAAACATTTTAAAGTAAATCCTTCACAAGGCCATCAAAAGAATTAAACTGGCCTGTTCCTGTACAATTTTAAAAAAATAGATTTCTTTACACTGCTTTTCCAAATAGAATTTCCTTTCTTCCATGCTTATTTATCTGTTGTAGGCAGAACGAACCCATCCTTTGAATGACATGCTGGGCCTTCGTTCTCTGCAAAATGGGAGCAAAATTCAATTTACATTCCATATGTTGAATATTATTCCGTTTCTATTGTGTGGAAATGAAGCACCGCCACAGGGATGTCTGTGAGTAAGTTAAAAAAAGGTAATATGGCAGCCCCCAGTTTGTGAGTAAAGCCTCTTTTTTATATGTGTCATGAAGACATTTCATAGTATCATGGTTCCTGTCTTGACAGCTTTTTACCCCTACATTGGCAGCATTCTGTGATGATTCTGAGACATTGTCATGCACTAGCTCTGCGCCCTTCTAAGTTTATTTTAATTACAAGGTCTGGATATTAATTACCAGGAAATACAAGTAGTCCTCAACTCGGGCCCTGAATTTTCAATGCTAAATAGGATGGTGGTTAAGTAAGTTGGGCTCAGTTTTATGATCTGTTTTGCCACAGTTGTTAAACGAATCATGCAGAGTTAAGTGACTCGCTCAGTTGTTAAGCAAATCCAGCATCTCCCATTGATTTTGATTGTTGGAAGCTATCTAGGAAGATCCCAAACAGCAATGACTTGATCACAGCGTGCTGCAACCATCCTAAATACAGGCCAGGCAACTGAATTTTGATCATGTGATCATTAGAACGCTGCAATAGATTTAAGTGCGAAGACTGGTTGTAAGTCAATTTTTTTCAGTGTCGTTATAACTTCAAATTATCACCTAATGAATGGTTGTAAGTCAAGGACTACCTTTACTAGAAAAAAAATGTGTAATTATAAATTAACCTATTCATCTTCATAAGATATAAACTAGTGAGAAACTTAGCAACTCTTTTATCCCCTACATAGCCAACTAAAAACTGGTTTCATATTATTTTGGACTATTTACATGAAGATAAGCATATGAACAAGAAATCTGGCTTCCTATGAAGCAGAATCTATCATTTTCATGGTTGAAAACTGATCTGTGGATAGCAACTTTTTTCCTCTGTTTCTTAGTAAAACCTGGAGTGCAAAGCATTTTTTTTAATAAAGCACTTGGTTATAAGACTTTAGTATAGGCTTCCTATTTAGATGGATGTAGAAAGGGATTAAGCGGAATGAAAAATATAGTTACCAATGGCTCAGATAGTGATGACACTGGCTATATATTGCCCCATCTCCAGAGATAATATGTGTTTCTAAACCAGTTACAAGTAAGTGATTCAATTTGGTTTGGTTTCTCTCAATTTCTCATTTTTTTCAAAGTTGAGGTCATTAATCCTGGGAATTGGGAGGGGGGGTAAAACTCATCTTTAAAAAGCCTGTTCCTCTAAACAGATGCTTCTACACACACATACACACACACACACACTTTTATCTGATGTACATAATTTCTGCAAATATTTCCTCTAACACATTTTTCTACATTGTTTATTCATCCATTTATGCAATATACATTTTAACCATTTTTTTTCTGCAAATTTTCAATTTCTATGAAACTGGGAGAAGAGTGATTTTGAATACTGCGTTGGTGTGTTGGTTGCAAAATCCAAACTTATATAAGCTGGCATTCAACTTGCATATTTGCCTCATTCCTATAGTATCAGCTGCTGGAGTATTGAGAATTCACACCTTTAGCTGTGAAGTTTGCAATATTCTCTGCTCACACCATCATATGTTCCCAAGTGTCGTCCAGGCAAGATAAAATGTCCTTTGTATTAAATGTGGTTCATAGCTGGCACTCGCTAATAATGCCATGTGTATGACACCTTAATTTAAAGGTTAGTAGTCAGAACTGTTGCCTTGGGTTCTGTCCTCTTTTTATAAAAATTAATCACTACATTTAAGTCCCGTTTCCTGCAATCCTGATAAAGCTTAAGTGTTAGCACAGTCATTAGCAACTAAAGGGGAATATTTGGACAAAATTCTGCCAGTTTGCATGATTAAGCAACAGTATTGATACCTAATAATGCCATTCATAATCTTCATACAAGATAATATTTACAGGGCCATATAATTTTTTTTTATGACTGATTTGGGATTTCCAACCACTGGGAGTCGGTTTTTAACTTGTTTTTCTTTGTCCTCCAGCAAATGTTTTAAACTGCTTTCTTGGGCGACTTAGAGGCATTCATTTCTCATGATCGTTTCAGTAAGAAGGTGTGAACTTTTAACCTCCCACCTCCCTGCGTAGGGCCTTATTCATAAAACACAACACAACACATACACACACATGCCAATGTAATACATAGTTTGGTCTATATGGCCAAGAGCAATTACATTTTATTCCCTACTCAGGAGAACAACTTGTCAAGTCTGAAGGAAAAAAAAACAAAACAAAAGCCAAACACCCTGCAGGCAATTAGGGCTGACTTACTGAAGAAATACTGTCTTTCAGGAATAATAAAAAAAAAAATCTAGTTGTTTCTGTATTCCAGAATCCATGTGAATATACAAAAGTGACATTTCAGTTCTTCAAACCTCTCAGCTCCCTGCTCCATGGTGATGGGGCCGATGTACAAGAACTGCTTATCACCTCTCAAGCTGAAATACAAAACTTTTTCCACCGAAATGGTAGGTATTTTCTGCAACAGGAGAGGAGGAAAGAAAAGATTTCTGAGAAAGAACAAAATCCTGAGAAAAATTAAAAGTTTCACCTGGTTTCATGAGAAAGTGCAAAATGTTTTTTGGCCCATTTGTCGTGCATTTTTATAACTGCAACTTATACAGGGCAAACTCTGAGGTTTTTTTTTTTTTTTAATGCCTTGTATTTAATATAGACCTCGTAGAATATAAGCCAGAGCACTGGCAGCTCCAGAGGGGCTGAGACCAGGAATTACCTTCAAGAGGGCCAGTAGACCGGAGAATACACTGATGACAACCGTGAACCTACAAATTCATTTTATAAATGATGAGCCAAATTTTGTAAGCTATTCAAATCTCTCTTATTAATAGCAATATTTACTTACTGATTAATATGTATCAAATCACCAGTGAAGAAACTGCTCTTCAATTATGGCCAGGAGATTAACCAATAGCCCTCCAACCTTCTTAATAATAACTTTCTTGGATTACACCAGGCACATTTTTAAACATTGATCTTAGCCTTCCAAATTTAAACAGAATTAAAATGCCCTTGTAATCTGTTAGATATACATGCATGTTCAAATATCCTGTGGAGCTTTAAAGAAATATGAGCTTAACTTTTTGCCAGCTGAATAAAGATTGTCATATATTTAAGCTCGATATTGCAGAAATTCCACATAGTAGGATCTCTGGAATTTTTACTGTTTTAAGATTGAAAAAAAAGGGAAGGTTGTGCACGAAAACATATCTAAAAAAGAAATTTACTGATAATCATAGGATAGTATCTTACATATGATGTATGCAGACAAGCTCATGCCTTATAAAGTATCTATCCATAGCATATTAGAATATCTACCACTGATCTCAGGTCTATCATTTGATTTTACAAACTAGAAGCAATTCAACACCCCATTTCTGAATCTTAAAAGGACATTTAGATTGCTTTTGCAATTAGTATTTGTTTCCCAAAATCCAAGTGCATTTTTAAGATTGCCACTCTGTTTCACACATTCCCAACCCAGCAGTAATGCAACCAGTAAAAGTGAGTGTGACTGTGTTTAACTATACTTAGAAAGCAAAGAGGAAATTGCCCTTATCTAGATTTCAAAATCTCCCAGCTGGGTGTGAGGAAGGTTCAAGGTTCTCTTGTGTTTCCCCTTCTGACAGCTATCAGAGTTGATTGAGCTACTGGGTGAAAGAATGACTTATGACTTAATGCAAACAACTTGAAAAGCTAAAGGCACAGAATAGCTTCATAAATCAAGATAAGGTTCTGCTGAGAGCTGCCACAGCCAATGTTCATTGAAGTGGAATTTCTGATGAATAGAGGCCTTAACAATGGGTACCCTGTGTTGATAATATTTAATATCACAATATATTTCACTTTTATTAGGTGTTATTTTTAGAAGATTTTGTCAACATGCATACACACATGGTATATACATATCATCCAAAGCAGTGTTTTAGTTGAGGGCAGGTCTGGAATATGAAAATCATATGACATGTTAGCTGAAATTATTTTATAACTCTTCCATAGTCAGATCATCTCCTTTGCTTTCAGTGGCTGCTGGATTGACTGTCTGTATTAATAAGAATGACTGAATCTCACATGAACTGTGGGATCATCTAAAAACCTTTCATCTCGGAGAGCTTTTATGAGTAGAATCATCATTGCTCAATGATAACTTTTAGCCTAACTAATACCAATAATCTCAAAAAAGCAGAAGAGCTGTATCTGGAGAGCCTTTTCCCTCTCTCTCTCTCTCTCTCTCTCTCTCTTTTTGCACCATCAGAAAAGGCAAAGTTGTTAACTTGATTGTTTCTTTTTTAAAGCAGATTCCCGATGTGTTTTTCATATAGAATTAGTCAATAAATTAAGGATGGGAAATCTGCAACTCCAATGTCCCATCTCAGAGTCCCTTATGATTGCACATTTGCAAATATGGTAATACACTTGGTTGAAAATCGATAGAGAGTTTGGTTCCAAATTCCAGTTTGGTTTAGTGTTAATGCTCCAAGCTAGAAACCAGGTGACTGGAAGTTCTAGTCCTGCTTTAGGCATGAAGGCTAGCCTAAGGGTTAGTCACACATTCTCAGCCCATGAGTTTAGGCTTGGACAATAAACTGCCAGTCAGTCAATTCCTGTCATAACCAATGAATCAACTTGTAGGAAGTTAGCACCCATCCCTCTCCTAGGAAAATGAGATAGTTTAGGAAATATTAAAAGGCAGAATATTTCCCCTAAACGGGAAGCAGAAACTCAGCCCCCCACCTTTGTTAATGGGCCATTAAAATCTGAGCCAGTCCATTCTACATAACAAAGATCTACCTCCTTCAGGCAGAGCCATTTAACCGCCCTTCACTGCATCAGCCAACAAGATTCAACCAAACTTAGCACACAGACAACCTACAAAGCTAGCCATGACCTCTGACAGCAACCGATAAGGATACTCTTCCTGTGCCCCAGGAAGTTCAAAGCCAGAGATGGTATAAAACCCAGGGACTCTCAGCATCTCTTCCCATTTTTTGCCCAAGATCTCCAAGGCATGTGATCCTGTTCATCAATAAACCTTCTTTCCAAGCAACTTCCATGAATCCAGTTGGTTTTCCCCATTTGGAACTGAACCCAGAAGGATATTTCTTCCAACAAACTCAAAGAATCATATCAATCATTGGTTGATTTTTAAAAAAGTAGACCCTACATCTGTGGGAAATATGCCAAGAAGACCAAAAAATTGTCAACAATCAATAGCATTGCATTGATATGACAAATACATCATAGCTCTAACATAACCTTTCAGACTGATTAAATACAATTAAAATTGCTTGTAATATAGCCCTCTTCTATCTTCTTGTACCAGGAGGGTCAGTGCATACTATTTCTAACACAAGAAGAGTTTTCTTGAGGTGAGATGCCTATTTTACCATGTAGTCAGGAAGATAACTCTCCTTTTCTCCTAGGAAGACAAAAAAAAAAAGTCTTTATCCTGAAAATATTCAAGCCAGCACTTAAAGATGGAGCTTTGACCCTCTTAACAAAATCACAATTGCCAGGAAGTTAAATCAATCCAAGAAATTAAGGAGCAGGCTTTTGCTTCAGGAAATACGTTTGTCTCTTGGGAATGGATAAAACAATTCAGCTAAAAATATCAATTGTGCTTTATTTGATTGTGAGTATTTAAGACTGATTTATTGTCTCTAATACACTTATGGTATTGCTCTGATATTTTTATTCTGTCTGGTAAGTTATTGTACCTTTGCAGTGTTTAATTTTTTATTAGTTTATCAAAATATAATATACAAAGAAAAATGAAAATTAAAGGAAAGTAGGGGAGGAAAATAAAGGTGTAAAGGAAAAGGGACAAAAGAAAGAAAACTCTTTTTAGCCCAATAGAATAATGTTATTACATATACTTCAACTTTTTACATTTATATGCTAGCAACTTTGTATAACAACAAACCTTGTTGATTAGATAATCAGCAAAACCCAAAGTCACAGTTTCATTTTTTTTACATATCAAGCTCAAAGTCCAGAAGCTGTTTCCAAATAGCTAAATTAATTGCTTTAATTAAAGAAAATAATACAGCTAACTTTGTTTCTACTTGTCGTACCGTTGCACCAGTTATGGAACTTGGAAGAAGAGTTCCTTATGTTATTTAAAAATCCTCATCAACTAGACATCTTCTCCTAGTCTGAGACTAGTCAAGACAGTATGTATGTATGTATGTATGTATGTATGTATGTATGTATGTATGTATGTATTTATTTATTTATTTATTTATTTATTTATTTATTTAATTTTCAAATTTATATGCCACCTTCTCCCATAGGACTCGGGGCGGCTCACAAAATAAAAACAACACAACAATCCAAATACTAAAATTAGTCAATTTAAAATCCCCAGACACTTAAAAACCCCACGGCAGATCAGGGAATTTGCTGAAAAACCCATGTCTTCAGCTTGGTGCGGAAAGTGCGGAGGTCAGGGGCTGTCCGGAGCTTGGTGGGTAACCCATTCCAGAGGGTCGGTGCGACCACAGAGAACGCCCTCATCCTGGGGGCCGCCAGCCGACATTGTCTGGCCGACGGCATCCTGAGGAGGACAATCCTATGTAAGCGCACTGGGTGGTGGGAGGCCGGTAGGAGGTAGTCCTGCAAGTACCCCATAAGGGTTTGACTGAAGTGCTGCCTGTTTTGTGTGTGTGTGTGTTGAACCAACCTGACCATTATTTTGATTTTCATGGCCACTACCTGTGCTTTGTTTATTTATTTGAATTTATTAGCCGCCAATTCCAATGAATTCATTTGTTTTATATCCTGCCTTTATTTCTTTATAAATAATTCAAAGGGACAAACATACATAATACTCCTTCCTCCTCCTATTTTCCCTACTACAACAACCCTGTGAGGTGAGTTGGACTGAGAGAAACTGACAGCCCCAAAGTCACCCAGCAGGCTTCCATGGCTACAGCAAGACTAGAACTCTTCTGATTTATGGCAGTTTAGCATTCCTTTTTTATTTTTTCCACTACCAAATATTTTATTTGTGATTATTTAAGTAAGACAAGAAAGGCTAATATTCTCTCAAGAGCTTTTTTTTTTTTTAAGAAAAGACATTTTATATAATGCTTGTGAGATTGAGCTATTCCCAAAGGAAGGAAGACAGTAGTCCTGCAACTCATGTTATAAACCTAGGAGATGGTTCTTATATTTTTAAATGTTTATGTTATTGGCTAATAATGAATAAAGTTTGAGGAACTCCTATTTAACTCACTATTTATCTCACTAATTTTCTGGAGTTAAGGAGGAAGCAAAGTTGGGCTGATCCTACCAGGACAGGAAAATGGAACCAAAGAACTTCTGGGAGAGCAATAGCAATAGCACTTAGATTTATATACCGCTTCACAGTGCTTTACAGCCCTCTCTAAGTGGTTTACAGAGTCAGCATATGGCCCCCAACAATCTGGGTTTTCATTTACTGACCTTGGAAGGATGGAAGGCTGAGTCAACCTTGAGCCAGTGAGATTTGAGAGGACAGTTGAGACCTTCCCTTTTTTACCTGCAAGTAGCCCTGTCACGACAAAAATAAAGGGATACCGGTGAATTCAAGTACTACAAAATTCAAGGAAACAGGGAGAATGAAGATGATATGACCTTGAGCACTTCTGTTATTGTTCTGTACTCTGGTCCTTTGCTAAATGCTCTCCATAATTAGTAAAAAGTTGCTCACTTTTGTTAGAAATTCTACTAGTCTTTTCTTCATTTCTTATTTGCTTTTTTTTACTGGGATTCCCACTTATCCTCCTGAAATAAACAGTTAGTAAACATCATTTCTACCCCTGAACTGAGTCAGTTTTCCTGATTAGCCCTGTCACTCATACTGAACTGAATGAATATGAATCAATTCTATCTGATTCTGATAGACAAGTGGATTCACCGCATTGAACCAAACCAGTCAATTTATAAGTGTCAGGTGTTTTCACAGGATGCTGAGGTGCTTGGGACCAACAACAGCCAATTTCCACTGTATTTCCTGGAGAATCAGGGCAAATATGCAATGCTGGCAAATTCTCTAGAAAGCAAAACCTGATAATGTTGCCAACAGGTGACTGAAAGCAATGCCTTCTAAACTGTTGTTTTCTAAGAAAACACAAGGAGTTTCAAGAAGTCAACTTATGTGTGCAAAAATTCTTCATCATACATTACAAATGCTTACAAGTTATTTTCATGTAGCGGTGAGTGTTGCTAACAGGAAATAAAGGTTTCCATGATTACTACTATAAAAGATTGCTGGGTCAGACTATTTGTCTATCTAACCCAGGATTACAGAGTTTATTCTCAATTTTGGCAGCTATATCTCCATCACTTGCAATGTGATCTTTTTAATTGGGGATACAAGGTTTGGAACTAGGACTTCCTTTATGCAGAATGTACATTTCACCACTGAACTATATAGCATATCATGTTGTTTGAAGCTAAAAAGAGCCCTTATAGATCAGACCAAAGGATCATCTCCAGGAATTGTTTTCCACAACATGCTGGACTAGGGTACTCCAGGGTAACCAGATGTTTTTGATTACAAGTCCCATCATCATTCACCGTGTGGCTATGGCTGGCAAAAGTTAGAGTTGAAAACATCTTGAGTGATCCAAATTAGAGGAAGTTGGACTGTCAGAAAGTGGTTTTTCAGAAACTTAGACAAGATCTTTCCAAGTTGAACTCTAAGCCTTTTGCATACCAAGCATTCTAGTACTGACTTACAGGTTCTCTATGATTCACAAAAGAAAACACACCCATGTCACTCACATTGCGTACAAAGGAAAAGTGAGAATCTCCAACCATTATACTTTACCCCATTTGCACATGCAGACACATACACAAACACATATAATTTCATCAGGATCCATAGTGAGGATCCATAGTGAGATCCATTAACTCCATAGTGAGACTCTCCATCATGGAACTCTGCTCCGAATCAAAAACGCTTTTCCAAATTTTGAGCATAAAAAACTTTTTCTTGGTTCAAGTTATATCTTCCAAATCACTTTCAATGGATCAAGTCCATTCAATTTCAGATTAAGCCAACTGTGGTTGTTGTCATGAATCATTTTGTCTTGTCCTTTAAACAACAGTGGAAACTTTTCCAAAACCAACACTGAATTCCAGCATCCAGCATTAATGCTTTGCAGGGTATATTGGATCCTTTCCTTTAGAGGAGGTTATTTTCTGAAGATATTTTTCAACCTCAAATTGTTCCCTGCAGACCAGTCCTGATCAGCTGAGTGGTCCTGTAATGGAGTTCAAATGTAAGAATTGAGCTACCCAGTCTCCTGGCAGCTGTCTCAAAAATTGCTAACACAAATGGGCAAATTTTCCATCTTATTAAAGTAACTCTCCCTCTCATGGGTATATCTTCTCTTCCTTGAGTTCTTTTTTTGCTTTCCATTTGTGGGAAGCAGAATTAAATCCAGCAATCTGAGAGATTCCTTTCAGGAGATTGTATAATTCCCACCTGACTTTCCCAGGCTAGAATTCCTTGCTTTTGGCTTCCCAGCTGTTTCACTACTCCTTTCCCCAACTTTTCAGATCTTTCACATCAGTCATCTGGGAGACCATTTGGACTATACCTATCAGATATCCATGGAGTTCATTCTGAAATAGAACGTTTGCTGTTCTCTTGCAGTCCATTAGAGCAAAAGGCAGCCCAAAGCAGTGTGCGTAGTTTTCAAGTTTTAGAGGTAGGCTTTTATGCTAGTTCAGGAGCTTTTTGTTCCATAGCCAGTTCACACACCTGAATTTGTCTTTTTTTCCCCCCAGTTTCTACCCATCCAGTTTAATCCAACAGCTATGTGGCAGATCCCATCAGTTAAAGAGTGTTGACTTGTGGGAACTAGAAGAGGGGCGTTTTCTGCTGTAGCCACTGCTTTATGGAATATTCTCCCATCAGAGATTAGAATTAAATTAGAATTAGAACCCCAATGTGCTGAGCACATTGTAAGCCGCCCTGAGTCTCCGGAGAAGGGCGGCATATAAATCAAATTTTTAAAAAAACAAAACACTCTGTTTTGCCTTTCACAAAACTTTGGTCTGGTTATGTACTCAGGCCTGAGGCTCAGAATGTTTAAGGGCCCTGTTACTTGGCTTTACTATTAGTTGACTAATTATCACAGCCACTATTTGTACTTATTTATTTTGTGGATACTTTTACTGTTTTTTGCTTTAATTGTTTTATAATTTTAGAGCTGTAAACTGTCCAAAGTCACTGGGTTGAGTTGGGCGGCTATAGAAATTGAATCAGTCAGTCAATGAATAAATAAAATTTAACAAAGTTGAGCAACTTTGTTGTTGAATTATGTTGAACTTTTCCTCACTGAGTTCTAAGGCAGGCCAGTCTGTGTAACCACCTATTCACAACTAATGCCAGTTGAGCTTTGTGGAATTTAAATATACTTGGGGGAGGTCAACTGCACTTGTAATATCTTGCTGTCTTATAGATATTTATTTCAAAGAAGTTCCATAAAATTTATTTCTGAATATAAATGTATAGGTTACATACATAAAGATTTGTAGAAGTTTGATCTTTCCATAATAATGAAACCATTTTTACATTATTGGAATTTGTTTTACCAAGATGTTTCTCTAAAGTATAAAGCTGTTAAAATCTTCTCTCCCACATAGATGTAACTTATGTTATAGGTAGGTCCTCCACTTATGATCACAACTGAGCCCAAAATTTCTGTTGCTAAGTGAGACATTTGTTAGGTGACTTTTGCCCCATTTAATGATCTTTATCTCCACAATTGTTAAGTGAATCACTGAAGTTGATAAGTTAGTAACAAGGTTGTTAAGTGAATCTGGCTTCCCCATTAATTTTGTTTGTCAGAAGATCGCAAAAGGTGATCACATGATCCCAGGACTCTGCAACCGTCATAAATATGAGTCAGTTGCCAAGTGTCTTAACTGACCATGGGGATGCTGCAGTAGTTGTAAATCACTTTTTTCAGTGCTGTTCTAACTTTGAACATTTACTAAATGAACTGTTGTAAATCGAGGACTACCTATATCTATTTCATAATCTTCCTTCCTTCGTCTCTCCCTCTATCTCTCCCTCCCGATATTTAGATCAAAAAGAAATTAATTAAAAAGTTTCTAAATAAATGTTGGTGAAGAAAGTATAGTCTTCATTCCTGCTTCTCCAACTTGGAGCTTACCTTGGCCAATGAAAACACAGTTTTCACCAGTTTCACTAGGAGCCAAATATTAAAGATCCCAAAAGCTGAAGGAGGAAGGAATTACATGTGCTTTGGGGAGATCTGGCTTTGTCTGTGTGCCCAGGTATGCATACATTTCAATGCCTACCCACTCAAGCCGTAAGGGATGGTGCCATACCATCTGAGTAAGAATACTTGTTTCAATATTCAATGGCCTTATTCTCAGAAGCCCAAAGTAAAACTGAACCTCCTGAAGTCTGAGAGGGATGTTTCTCAAATTGACTCTTCCACATTTTGCAAACTTGGAAGGCAAACTTCCAGAACTGTGCTAACATAAAGCTGATATTGCCATGACAGAGCCGGGGGCAGACTGACTAGAGAGAAGATGTGAACTGACTTTTTAATGTTCTTGTGGGTTTGAAATTAGAGATAGTATAGGAGGGGGGCAAAAAGCTTGCAGCTGGAGCACGTTGACTCTCTGTAGGAGGTCAGAATGAAAAAAAAATTAAAAAGAGAAGCTCATAGAGCAAAAGGCAAAGGCTTTGCTAGAAACAGCAGCCCTGCTTCTGTTAACTCTCACCCTCCCGCCTTGAATAATAATTGTCTGGCTCGGAAAACAGAAGTATTGATAAAATAGACGGCAAAAGAACAGGATAGGAATAGACAGCCTTTCACTCATACCTGTTCTACTTGAGGAGCATAATTTGAGATTCTAGGTTACCATAGGCTTTAGGTCTACTGGAGGTTCAACAGAAGTTGCTATGAAGTCATCCCCTTAACATAACAGAATGAGTGAACTGTGAAATAGATCAAAAGTCATCATATAAGTAATATGTAGTCATAAAATGAAGTTTTAATTTAATTCAATTAAATTGTATTTAGTTTTGGTTGGATACCAGCTGATCCTGAAGTTTGCTGACCTTCTAGGAAAGGAGTCTCCAAATTTGGCAACTTGTGAACTTCAGCTCCCAGAATTCCCCAGCCAGCATGGCTGACTAAGGAATTCTGGGAGTTGAAGTCCACAAATCTTAAAGTTGCCAAGTTGGGAGACCTCTGTTAGAATATAGCCAAAATGTGCGTCCAAAGTGACGAATGCTATTCTTACTTAAGGAATGCCTTAAGTCGCGTGGGTATGATTTAAGGATTGTAGTGCAATAAATTTCTTCTATATCTAATTAAAAAGCAGTGTTTGAAGGCCTCAACTGACCCAAGCCATGGTGGGCTGGAGAAGAAACTAGTTTTAGGCAATCTGGCAAATGGAAGATTATGACTTGACATATAAAAATAAATGTAAGGAACATTAATTAACTAATGAAATAAAGATAGATATATCATGTGGTGACGAAACTTAGAGGGGAGGAAAAAAAGCCTCAGTGACAGTAACCTGAACTGTGGAATAGAGTTGAAGCGTGCAATGCAATGAAGGTATAACTTTAAAAGTACTAGTGTATATTTCAGAAAGTACAAACTTACGTTGTTTGTGTTGTGGAAGGCATATTAATGAAAATATCAGTGGAATTTTATGCACCAGTTGATGGTGAAAATATATGCCACTTTTAGATTGGATACTTTATTCTGCTATGTGGCATAGTAGAAGTGTGGGCACAAGATGGAAAAATGCTTAAAAAGTTATTAAGCCATTCAGAGATCCAAGAATGAATGGAAATAGTCACTATTTGGTTTTTAACTGCTTGTTTGAGAATGCGGTTGAAACACAAATCCGTTCATGCTCACAGATGGAAAAAATGAATCAAAAGACGTAACAGATTTAATTGTTCGTAATGAAAGGGTTAAAAAAACATGCATTCCTTCAGTAGCCTGGTCTTAAGTTGTTTAGAGCTTAGATCAAAAGCAGTGCCAACAAGCAGTGTAGATGGCAAATCATTGGTATAATATCTTCATGCTTGCCATTCCCAGTAAACAGTCCAGTTATTCTATTTGTCCCAGCTTATATTTCAGGGTCATTTTCAAAGAGAGCTCTTTGAATAGCACCCTTGGCATCTGGTAGACTTCTTATCCCTCCTTACTATTTTTTAATTTCATTTAAAATGGCCAAATTACATGTCTCTGAGCTTCACCCTTCTGTAAAATGGGCACAAAGTGACAAAATGCTGGTTTTTAATTTGGAATATTAAAGCCCACCTTTTATTTATTTATTTTATTTTATTTGTTTAAATTTCTATACCGCCCTTCTCCAAATAGGACTCAGGGCGGTGCACAGCCTAAGTAAAAACAAAGCATACAAAATTTAAAAAACAGTATTAAAATAATTAGATATTCTGGCCGTAAATTAAAACAACCCAATTTAAAACCAATTTAAAATTTAGCTCAAGCCAGCCCAGCTAGTTGAAATAAATAAGTTTTCAGGGCCCGACGAAAAATCCGGAGGTCTGTTATTATACGTAACTCCGGGGGAAGGTTATTCCAGAGGGTGGGCGCCGTCACAGAGAAGGCTCTCCCCCTGGGGGTCGCCAGCCGACATTGTCTGGCGGACGGCACCCTGAGGAGGCCCACTCTGTGCGAGCGTACTGGCCGGTGGGAGGCTATTGGTGGCAGTAGGCGGTCTCGTAAGTACCCCGGCCCTAAGCCATGGAGCGCTTTAAAGGTGGTCACCAACACCTTGAAGCGCACCCGGAAGACTACCGGGAGCCAGTGCAGCTCGCGCAGGAGAGGTGTCACATGGGAGCGCCTCGTCGCCCCCATAATCCCCCGCGTGGCCGCATTCTGGACCAGCTGGAGCCTCCGGGTGCACCCCAGGGGGAGCCCCATGTAGAGAGCATTGCAGTAGTCCAGGCGGGAAGTGACTAGTGCCTGAGTGACTGTGCGTAGAGAGTCCCGATCTAGAAAGGGGCGCAACTGGCGTATCAGGCAAACCTGATAAAAAGCCCCCCTGGCCACGGCCGTCAAATGGTCTTCTAAAGACAGCCGTGCATCCAGGAGGACGCCCAAGTTGCGAGCCCTCTCCGTGGGGGCGAGTGATTCGCCCCCAATAGCCAGCGATGGCGTCAGCTGGCTATATCGGGACGCTGGAAGCCACAGCCACTCGGTCTTGGAGGGGTTGAGTCGGAGCCTGTTTCTCCCCATCCAGGCCTGCACGGCCTCCAGGCACTGGGACATCACTTCAAGGGCATCGTTGGGGTGGCCTGGGGTGGAGATGTACAGCTGGGTGTCATCAGCGTACTGATGGAACTCCACCCCGAAGCCACGGATGATCTCACCCAGTGGCTTTACATAAATGTTGAACAGAAGGGGCGAGAGGACCGACCCTTGTGGCACCCCACAAGCAAGGTGCCTCGGGGTCGACCGCTGCCCCCCCGTCAACACAGATTGCGACCGGTCAGAGAGGTAGGAGGAGAACCACCGCAGAACGGTGCCCCCCACCCCCAACCCCGCCAACTGGTGCAACATGATACCATGGTCGATGGTATCAAAAGCCGCTGAGAGGTCTAATAGGACCAGGATAGAGGAGGTAACTTAAGTGTTTTGTGAAAGGTGTGTGTGTGTGTGTGTGTGTGTGTGTGTGTGTGTGTGTGTGTGTGTGTCACCAGGCTGTTTGCTGAGAATGACTGTTTTTACGTCTTGCCACGTTCATCATGGCATGTAACAACTGAATAGAAATCATCATTTTGTTGGTGAGAACGCCCATTAGCCTCAGTAGTGGGATGAAATGTGTACTCTACCCAAATATTGATTTTTCTCTTAAATAACAACAGCAAAAAAAAAAAAAAAGTAAGAATGCCATACCTGGATATGTGTCCACATACATAGTTCTAGATAGTGGATTCCAGAGAGCATAGACTCCAGTCACCACTATTCAAATAAAATGTCACCATACTTTCTTTCATAAGCAACCTCAACTTTTCCTTCAGCCTGAAAAATATATTGAACCAACTCTACAGTGAACTGAAGCACTTGGATAAGGGTAATTAACTTCAGATAAGCTTCATTATACACAAATGTTTTGAGACAATTATTTTTATAATCAGCAAGATTTGTCTTTCCTAGTAGAAAGCCAACAGTAATTTTGTGCAACCAAATTTGGATTTTGTTTGCTACTGATGACATCCCAGATTAAGAGCACTAAGCAGAAGCATATGCCTTGTTTCAACTTGGAGCAAATGTTAGTCACCAGTTAATCATACACAACCAATATTGGACTCATTTTTACATATTTGGGAGTTAAAACATCAGAAAATTCATGTTATCTTAAATCTCTACTGGAATGATTTTGGGGATGACTTCAACAAAGATACTGTTGGTACTTACTTATTTGGACCACCCAGCTGTATCTTTCACACTATTAAAAGTTTAATTCCTGCCTCCTATATTTATGACAGAATGACAGCTAAGCATGCAAAACCATGGCAAAGTTGTACTCCATACCAGGGTGGTCTAATTTCCTAAACCACATTGACTAGTCATGATTGTTTTGGGGCACGCTTCTTAAATAGTTTCACTTATTATTTGGATGCTGGGGTAGGCAGTATATTTATCATATTTGTAGAAGGAATTGCAAGCTCATCGTGACAAGGAACAATATACTTCAGCTATTTTTCCCATGCTTTGCACATTGATATCTAAATATAAATTGCAGGAGATCCTAAGAGACACAGTAGGTGGAGCAATGATGAAAAACAATATAGGATCAGAACATACTCATGAGAATAAGTAGGATTTAAGGGATTTTTATGGTGGTTGTGTTTCTCTTTTTTTTAAAACACATTTTTATTTTGTGCTACAGTCAGCTGCTGATTTTTGGCAATCGTAATTGGAGCAGGGTCCAGAAACCACCAAAACAAAAACCATTTAGAGCTTCCATTATGCCCTTGGCTTCAGGTTATGCAACTCTGTTTTATTTAAACCAGTTTTACAAAATCTAAACTGTTCTATGCCAAAAGGTTTTTTTTTTTCCTCTGGGCTCCAACTGAAATGATGTCTTAAGTTAATTTAGGCTGAAATCCTAAACACACTTAGGAAATAAATTGCATTGGATAACATCAGAGTGATTCCTGAGAAAGTAAGTTTAGATTGTGCTCTAAATTGAGTAAACTACACCAAGCTAAAACAAGCAAACAATAAGCAGAATTCTTAGGAGACCTGATCCCATATGTAAATGTTTTGAATGATCCATACACAGCGTCCATATTTTAAGGAAGACCTTCCAACTTTCCACTTTTCAAGGAAACTACATTGCAGGTTCTATCATTATTAGCCAACTTACAAGATAATTAGAAATAATTAACATTGTAGACCAACAAAACTGGAGATGCCAAATTAAGGAAAAATACGCCCTATATACATACATACAATAAGTCTACATACCTTGAATTCCTTAATATCTACCTGTTATCCATCCATCTATCTATCTCAATATCTTTACAACCTGACAATTTAGGCCACATATTCAATATTTTTGGATAGTCAAAATGGGGTACAGTATATTAGCTCTATTTGAATTGAAAATATTGACAGCTAATGACGAACTTTATTTTAATAGAACCTGATGCGCAAGATTGTGATTTAAGGATAACAGATTGTGCCAATATTACCTATTGGCAGATACCTATTGGTACGATTTTGAGCACAAAATTATAATACATTATTAAACCAATATTAAGCCAAGGGGCAACACTGAGTTTAGAACTGCCACAGGTGAGTCTTAAAAGAATAAAAGATTTAAAAGCTTTAATTATTTGTGTACCATATCAGCAACATTAAAATGGGGGAGGAAGGATTTAAATTTTAAAAACTCTTTAAGAGCTCAACTTTCATCATCCACATTCAAGAGATCAAGAGAGTACCCCTCATCTCTTCACTTCTGTCGATAAGATAATCAGGCCCAAATTTTCTAACCTTTTAATATCAAGAAGTACCATCCAGCTCAAAGGGAATTTTTTAATATGGAAGCTTTCCTTTTCTGTCAGTCTTTTATTTCAAAAATACTGAATTTCTCAAGATTTTTTTTCAGTCCAGAATCAGATAACTGATTCAGCAGGACTCATTAACTTCTTTATATACACAGTAATACATGCAGTAAATTTACAATACCAAGAGCAGATTTCTTCCAACAGCAGTTACAAGCAAAACACAAGCAGAGTACAGCAGGCAGAAAACCTTGCAGCTTCAGAGCTCAGAGCTTAACACAGAGCCATGCCAGTTTTCCAGTTTTCCAGTTTCAGTTTCAATTCACCAATCAGCTCCCATTTGGCTAACTTAGTTGCTATGCCTATTCATTGGCTGACCTTGTTACCATGTCTCCATTCAGTCCCCATTGGCTGATCTATTCCAGTCTATGAATATTCATATTCTGACATAGCTTTCTAAATCGTACAGTAGATTCTTGAATTTGTAGAATATCAAAATGATGAGGGAGGCTATTTGAAAGTTGAGTCCATGAGTAAATGATATGTGGTAGTAATGACCTTGGGAAATCAGGGGAAGAACTACAGCCGCAGGAACCATCAGATAAGAGACATCTTAGCCTCCAGAAGGAATGACAGGACAATTGTCTCAGAAGAGACCCTTCTTAGTTTTATTTTGTTTTAAAGGCAAGGGGAGAAAAATGTGTTTTCAGACGTGCAAGATTCAATTAATTACAGTAAAATAAAATTAGTTCATCTCTGCAGAGCTCATGCCTGGACTATCTCACATATCACGGTACCGCAAAGTTAGAGAACTCCAGTCTTACTGCTCTGTCATGACTCACTATGGTTTATTTAAAATATTTGTTAAAATATCACATTGTTAAAAAAAAAACACATTGGTACATCCTACTTATTCTGATTGATTTATCATGTGCAAATAAGTAGTTGTTGTTGCCTAGTGGCCACATTGATAAATTTTCTCTTTCGGTGCCTAACTGGTCCTTCGGGTTTTCCAATGGTGCCACTGTTACTGAGTTCATCCATTTTACTGATGGTCATCCTTTTCTCTTTCTTTCTACCTTTCCCAGTATTAGAGCCTTCTCCAGAGCCCTCACTGTTACCTACCTCAATATTTCTCCTTTTGAAAGGCTGGCATAATTAATTATCAAGGTTATGATTTAATCTAAGGAAGTCCAGGGTTGAGACGGCAGCTGTTAAGACCCAGTGCCAGAGGATAGCATGTTGTCACAAAGCCACAGATGGTATCTTCATACCAATCCTAAAATCTGTGTCAGCGCCTGAACAGGGCAAATGTTTACATTCCAGATATAAGCTTCAGGACCAAAAGGAAAGGAAAATGTAACCTAATCCGACTTGCACTGAGCAAGGTCTAACTTTAACAGAAAGATGTAAGGCTTGTTTGCATTACTATAGCAAAAATAAAAACCAAATAAAGTTTTTCATTGTAGGAGTGAATAAAAAGCCAATACTCTCTTAATATCTCACAAAAAAATTTGCTACTTCTCAGTCTGATATATCATGCTGGGATAATTTTCTTTCTAGAATTATGCTCATCCAAATGAGTTTTTAACCGTTGTTTCATTTAATTTTGTGCAAATTAACTATCAATCTTGGCACACATGGCTATCACTAGATCTAATCCATTTAGCATTCAAAAAATGGATTGAATATTGGCTAATAGATAGATATTTCAAGAGAAGTTAAACTTCTTCCATGTCTGCCTATAACCAAGTTTTACTGGAACAAACTGACCTATTCCTTCATCTATTTGTGCTATTGTTCCTACCGTCAAATAACTGGATAAGTAATACAGGATTGGAATCAATCTCTAGGCTTCGTTTTTCCTTAAATTCTAAATTTAATGTAGAACCAAATAGCCTTATATATTTCATAAGTATAATCCAAGTGAATGAATTGTTCTTTAGCTTGGAAAAATGAGAATGTCTTCTTTTTTTTAAATGAACTTTGCATACATTTGGGAATATAAGCTTGATCACTCTGATGCAAAAGAGAAGAATGGGGAAAACGCTTCACTCCAGCTGTTACCAACAGTCTTGGCAGAGAAAAATCTTCTCTAATCCGTCTGTTGCACAGTGGAAAACTCTGAGTATCAGAATGGAGCAGCCCCACATGGGATTGAATTCCCAATCGTCCCTTGTTATATCAATGTTTGGCTGAAATCTTCTCTTCAATAATGCAGCAATAGAATTTTCTCTCATGAATCATGTCATTGTTGTGGTGGTTTGACTGGATGGCCTGTGATTCTTTGTTATCCACCAAGCATTTAGGGATCCTTGCCTTCACACACAGAAATGCTGAAGTCTATATCTAAACTATGATCAATATGCAGTTTTTAAAAAAATCATGTTTGAGATGCTTACAAAAAACTCTATAAAGAAATGGAGAGGGATTAGTTGCAGCTCTAGGAAATGCAGAAGTGAATGTTTAAAAATTACAATGGGAAATTTCCAGTTTTAGTTTACACTCAGCACACACCAAGCTATCTTCATCTCCAGATTGGAACATGTCCACATGTCATTCAGTTCAACTAGAAAAAATATATAATTGGATATTTATTTGTTAAGTATCAGCCAACATCAAAAACTATCAGTTTTCAAAAATGGATTAGATGGTAGGCAAATAGCAATGAAAGATTCATAAACAATAAGCCAGAAATAAACTTTATCTGTATATTTTTAAAAGGTTTTAAAAAGCAGATTTTTTTCAGTGCCATTGAAAATATATAGATTATGGTCCCAAAAGAAGTGATCTTTACTTAGTCCATCTTTAATCCTTTTATTTGGTTCGATGGTCTCTGATTCTTTGTTATGCACCCAAGCATTTAGTGGTTCTTGCCTTCACACATAGAAATGCTAAAGTCCATATCTTCAATGTGTATACTCAAGATGTATATGGAACTACATTGTGAAGGAAGGAAGCAGTAGAGTATCCCAGGGAAAGTAATCAAGACAAAAAGCAACCTAGAACTAAGGAGAAATTTCCTGACAGTGAGAACAATTAATCAGTGAAACAGCTTGCCTTCAGAAGTTGTGGGTGCTCCATCACTGGAAACTTTTGAGAAGAGACTGGACAACTAATTGGTATAATCAATGGTTACCAATTGGTCTAGTGGAATGGTATAGGGTCTCCTGCATGAGCAGGAGGTTGGACTAGAAGGCATCCAAGGTCCCTTCCAACTCTGTTGTTCTGTTAATTTTAAGAGCTTCAGAAAGCTTCAGGTGTTCTGTCCTCTGTTTCTTTAGAGATATGAAATTTTCCCAATGACACTAAAAAAGTGACTTACAACCACTCTTGCACTTAACAAGTGCATCCTTGGTCACATTTGGGTCAAAATTTGGGCAGTTGGCAACCAACATGTGACAGTGGCAGCATCCTGGGGCCATGTGATCACCGTTTACAATCCTCCCAGGGGGGTTCTAACAAGCAAATTCAGTGTAAAGAGCTTGATTCACCTAACAATTGTGTGATACGCTAAATGTCTGTGGCAAAACAGGTCATAAAATTGGGTGTCTGCCAGGGGTGAAATCCAGCATGTTCCGACAGGTTCTGGAGAACCACTAGCGGAAATTTTGAGCAGCTCAGAGAACTGGTAGCGGAAATTTTGAGTAGTTCGGAGAAATGGCAAATACCACCTCTGGCTGGCCCCAAAGTGGGGTGGGAATGGAGATTTTGCAATATTCTTCCCCCTGGAGTGGGGAGGGAATGGAGATTTTGCAGTATCCTTCCCCTGCCACGCCCACCAAGCCACACCACACCCACCAAGCCACACCCACAGAACCGATAGTAAAAAAAAATTGCATTTCACCACCAGTGTGAATCACTTAATGGCCACAGTACTTGGTGACAGAGGTTCCAATCCCAATTGTCAATCATATGTCAAGGATTACCTGTATTCCCTTTCAAAAATATCCTTATTCAAAAATATCCATATTTTCTGAATAAAAAAAAAAACACCCATATACTACAATTTTCCTAATGGAAAAAATTACAAGTGCATGCCTATTTCCTCACCATTTAGACTTTTGTTAATAGAATCACAGAGATCTGCCTTTTGCCAATTGGACATCCATGCTACTACATAGAATTCAGAGGTATTCTTAGAAAATAAAAATGGTTAATGGCTATACCTGCCCAGAAAGAAAACAAAAGTAAACTGATGTGATAAATAATCTGTCAAATGGTCTCACCAGCTAATCAGTTTTGTAAAAGTGCACAGATTGTTTTATCATAATTCCAAATGGTCTTTCTAATCCCAAAAGAGACATTCTGATTTAGGTAACTTGAGAAACTTTTTAATATCATCCCATTCTTTTAAATTAGACCTGATTAAAATATATTTCTGGTCTCCTAGCTTTATATTGGATGGGGCAACTTACATAAAAAAACCTACATCTCTTTTTCAGTGGTATCAAAGATTGAGGGATCAGGTGAATTTCAAAGATATTAATGTATGGGCATATACACACATATATACACAACACACACAAACAAACACATTTCATGAATGTGTAGAAATGAGTGAATCAATCATACAGATATAAGATTAACAGAGTTGGAGGGGATCTTGTAGGTCATCTAGTCCAACCCCCCACCCAAGCAGACCTTACACCATTTTTGACAGATGGTACTTCAGGCTCTTCTTGAAAGTTTCCAGTAATGAATCTCCCACAACTTCTGAAGGCAAACTGTTCCATTGGTTGATTGTTCTCACTGTCAGAAAAATTCTCCTAATTTCCAGGTTGAATCACTCCTTATTCAATTTCCATCCATTATTCCTTGTCTGGCTTTCAGGTTCTTTGGAAAATAGCTTGACCCCTTCTTCTCTGTGGCAGTCCCTCAAATATTGGAACACTGCTATCATGTCTCCCCTGGTCCTTCTCTTCACTAGACTAGCCATGCCTAGTTTCTGCAACCGTTGATCGTATATTTTAGCCTCCAGTCCTCTAATCATCTTGGTTGCTTATCCTTTTGCCAAGCTATTTTTCAGTTGTAAGACTTAATTCTCCAGCATTTGGGAACAACAAGACAGAAAATCAGGCAGAAAAACAAATGTCAGATAGAGACAGGCCACCCTGCATGAAAGGGCTGGAGGATAAGATGGCTAGTAGTATTATTGGGTTAAAGTAAATGTAAAAGCATCTCAATAAGTTTCCTGTGAATTGTTTCTCCTTCACAGACAACAAGATCTAACATTCTTTGGTATGACTTCTAATGTTCTTCAATAAACATATTTATCTGAAATTCTTGGATTTCTTCTAAGCTTAAAGACCGAAGCCAGATTCCAATGTTGCTTTGGGTTTTGAGAGGCA